CAATACCAATTATGTACAGATTCTTCCCCAAAATTGAAAAATTCAACTTACTCAATGCAGTCGGCATTAACTGATACTAAAGTCAAACACATTACAAGAAAACTAGAGACAAATAGCCCCTCTGAACACAGATGCCAAAATTCTAGGCAAAATGTTTGCTAATTAGCTAATGGAATCCAACAACATATTAAAAGAATAATACATCATGACCTTTCATTCCAGGAGTGAAAAGGTGGTTTAACATTTGAAAACCTATCAATGTGATTCACCTTATAAACAAACTACAGAAGGAAACCATTACCAACACCTTAATAGACACAAAAGAGCATTTGACAAAATCTAACATACTTTCCTGATACAAACTCAGCACACTAGGGACACAGAAAACTTCCTCACCTCAACGTAGAGCGTCTATGAAAACCTCCAGCTTGCACCACCCTGAGTGCTCCTAGGGACCACAAGCAGGCCTGCCTACCCCACCTGCTCACCATTGCAAAATGGCCAGGAGAGAAGGAAAATGTCTTTGATCACAGACACATGACCTCCTATGGAGAAAATCTGATGGAATCTACACATATATGCAAGAGTGCCACACTGAAAACTGCAGCATTGCTGAGAAAATTTCAGGAGACCTAAGTAAATGAGCAGATACTCAATGTCCCCCGGTCTGAAGACTCAGTACAGAGAGTCCCCAACTAACAATAGTTCAACTTAAGACTTTTTGACTTTACAATGGTTCAAAAGTGATATGCATTCAGTGGAAACTGTACTTAGAATTTTGAATTTTTATCTTTTCCTGGGCTAGCAATATGGCTGCCATGCAGCACTCTCACGACACTGCAAGCCACAGCTCCTGGCCGGAGGCTCAAGCAAGTGCTCGGCAGCACCGGTCAGGGTTCACTCTCAATTTACAGTGCTTTCAACTCAGGATGGGTTCATTGGGATACAACCCGATGTGATCATATGCCCAGGATAATCTGTACTATGAAGGTATCAACTCTCCTCTGACTGGTCTAGCAATTTAATACAATCCAAATTAAAATCCCAACAGGCTTTTTGTTGCAAATTGACAAACCGATTCTAATATTCATAGGGAAATGCAAAGAACTTAGAATAGTCAAAACAACTCTGAAAAAAGAACAAATTTAGGCCCATACAACCAGACGGCAAACTATATCATAACGCAACAGCAATCAAGGCGGTGTGGTGCTCATGTAATGACAGACAAACAGATCCTTGGAACAGAAAAGCAAGACCAGAAATAAATCCATAAACATAAGGTCAATTGATCTGCAATAAACTACAAAGGCAATTCAGTGGAGAAAAGATAGTTTTCCAACAAATAGCACTGGATGTCACATATAAAAAAAAGTTAACTTCAATCCATAACTCGGACCATATAAAAATGAACTTAAATGGATTATAAATTTAAATATAAAACCTAAAGCTATGCCCTGGCTGGTATGGCTCAGTGGACTGCGTGCCAGCCTGACGGGTTCAATCCTGGTCAGGTCACATGCCTGGGCTGCAGGCCAGGTCCCCAGTAGGGGGCTCACGAGAGGCAATGACATACTGATGTTTCTCTCCCTCTCTTTCTCCCTCCCTTCCCCTCTCTCTAAAAATAAATAAAATCTTTTTTTAAAAAAAACTAAATTTTATAGCTTTAAAACTTTTAGAGGGAAACATACTAGATAATCTTTATAACTTTGAATTATGCAAAGATTTCATAGATACAGCACACAAAGCATGATTCATAAGAGAAAAAAATTGATAACTTGAACCCTAAGAGAAGGGTTCCTCGTCTGAGCACCATGCCCTTCCCTCGGGTTCTGAGGGATCTTGGTACGATGTCTGGCTGAGTAACTGGAGTGGCTGTGGGTCCCGTAATTCTCTCTGCATGTGGCTGTGGCCACTAGGACACAATGTCCTCATCCAGAGTGGGGGTCTTGCAGGATAACAACCGCAGCTCTCTCAATGGCAATTCACACGTGCCCAGCACTCTGCCATACGCTCTGCCACTTGATCAGCACTACTCTACGAGGGGTGTGCAGTGGCCTGTTTCACAGGGTGACCTGCCACAGGCACACGGTGAGCAAAGGGATGCTCGCCCAGATGCAGAGGATCTGCCCCAACCCCTTCCCGCTACCCTGACCCGGGAGCGTGGGCGTCCCTTAGCACCTTCTTGACTTCTCCTTGCCTATGAAGACCCCTCCACGAGGGGCCTGGCAGTGGCCTGCCCTTGGTCAGCCACCTCATCAGCATCACGCCATTGCCCAGCTGGCCACGGTGTAGGGCCTTCTCAGAAGAAGTGAGGATGAGCGAGGATGACAAACCCAAGACTCACTTTCCCAACACCTGCTCTCCCCAACCCAGACCCTGAGCCTCTGTCCTTGGCTTCACCCAACTCCTAAAGCCAAGTCCAAAGGTCTCCTTTACCCACCTAGGACTGCCTGGAGAGGACCAGTGTCTCTGGTCCCCAAGTGCACCAGGCAGCTTCCAGACCTTTCCTCTGGGGGCAGGGGGCCTGGAGACGCCTGTCGCCCTCTGTCAAGAACTTGCACTCCATTGGCATGCCCTGCTCAATGCAGGCTGGGCATGGGAGGTATGCAAAGAACAGACTGGGAAGGGTACGTTTACCAAAATGTGGCTCCTGTTGGTTTAGGCAGAACCATAATTGCGTGGAACACTCTCTGCTCCCACATAAGGGGCGGTCACATGGCGCCTCTGGGTGAGGCTTATCAGCATGCCTGTACAGTGGCTGGGATGCGTGGGAGGCGGTCTGGGAGACTGGGGCTCACCAGGCAGGATCAATTCTCCTTCCAAGCTGCTCTCGTTCACAGTACCAATGGTCCATCTGAGCCCAAGTGGGAGGCATAAGGCCTACCCCCCAAACCTGTGGGAAATCTGCCTGTAGTGGGAACCAAAACCAGGCCCTTGCAGGGCAGGGAGCAGACCAGAGTGGCCTGGAAGAGATGCTGGCTGCACAACGACCATGTCTGGCTCCTTTTCCTGTGCCCATATGAGTTTCAAACCATGCTCTCTGAGCCCGTTAACAAACATGGCGTGTCTTGAGTGCTGGGTCAGTGCTGCCCTGGAAAGAAGGAGCAACAGTAAAAAAAAACTAACAACACAACTCAAAAATGGACAAAGGGCCTGAAGACATTTCCCCAAAGACAATATATGAATAGCCGACAAATACATGAAAAGGTGCTCAACACCACTAATCAAACAAGATCCCACTGCAACATCCATTAGGATAATTCTTATCAAAGAGCCAGGAAACAATGAGTGCTGGCAAGGATGTGCAGAAATGGGAACCCTGTGCATTGGGGTGGAATTGTAAATAGTGTAGCCACCATGGAAAACAGTACTGAAGTTTCACAAAAAGTTAAAAATATAACTACTATATGATCCAAAACTCCCACTGCTGGGTATATATCCAATAGAATTAAAAACATGGTCTTGAAAAAAAAAAAGAGACAACTGTAATGGCATAATCAATAAAATATATTTAAAAAATTTAAAAACATGCCCTCAAAGAGATATCTGTACACCCAATGCAGCATTATTAATAACAGCTAGGACATGGAAAGAATCCAAGTGTCCATCAATGATAAAGATGGACACGCAAGACATGATATGTACATACAACAGAATTATTATTCAGCCTTTAAAAAGAAGGCCTTGAAAGATGGACACATGGGAAGCAGCCCATGTGTCCATCACCTGGTCCAACCTTGAGGATATTATGCCAAGTGAAATCAGCCAGTCACAGCACAAATATTATGTGACCCCACTCATAGGAGGTACCTAGAATGACCAAACCCACAGAGACAGAAGGGAGAGAGGCACTCTCTGGGGATGGGGGACAGGATGGATAGAGTTTTAGTTTCACAAGGTGAAAAGAGTTCTAGAGAGGGTAGCACAACAAGGTGAGTGCACTTAACACCACTGAACTGTACGCTCAAAAGATATTTTAAAATTTTTTGAAGGAAGAGAAGGGGGTCACCTCTGAGCAGAGCCTCACAGCCACCTACCCAGCACCCACAAGGCCCCCAGCCCAATCTTGGCCTTTCCTCGGCCCTGCAGCCAGCACCAAAAGGGGAGAGCCCTTCCTGCAGGCCCCCAAGCCCTGCTCCCCACAGGGACACCAGGGCCAGAAGAAGCCATACCTACCCCCACCCCATGCAACCCCACATGGCAGCCATGAGCCTCACCCCACACTGGCCCCAAGCAGAACCGATGTATGGACAGTCCAGCTGTCAACGAACCATGCTGTCTCTTGGCCATCTCTCCATCCCTGGTATTTTCCTTTTGCAGGTAAGTAGGAAGAAAGTAGAAAGTAAGTAGGGCAGGAGGAGGCAAGGAAAGCCCTGACTGACTACTCCAGACTCAGGGCCCAGGGGCTCTGCCCACAGGGAGGCCCTGAGCCCCAGACCAGGCACAGCCTAGAGAGGAGACTGCCAGGTTCAAGTCCTCGCTTTGTAGGAAAGCCACAGATGAGGCACTCAGCCCCGTGAGTCTTCGGAGGGCACATGGGATGTGTGCAGGGTCCTCCCCGAGGGGATGCCTGGCCACACTGGTATGGTGTCCTGGCACCCAGCCTACTGCCTCAGGGGGACCCCGGCAGAAGCTAGGTGCTCTCAGCTCGCAGGTGCTCTCAGGGGACGCTTGGCTGGAAGGACCCAAATGGGACCTGCCCTGTGCGATGTGTTCTCCTTGTCCCAGCCCCAGGGGACCAGTGAGGGCCTGGGTCCCACGACAGTGCAGCAGGGATGCTAAAGGGATGCCACCACCAGCCCCCGCCTTAACGGGAAGCACAGAAGCCACCCAGTGTTCTCCTCGACATCCCCAGTGCCCGCTGGCACCACACCTACTTATTTCAGCGTCACTAACTGCATTCCCGATGGTGTACTGCACATCCCTACAACTGTCCTGCAATTAGCACTCTGTACTTAATCCCCACACTACGCTCACCCAGCCCCCAACCCCTCCCGTCTGGCACCCATCAGTCTGTTCTCTGTATCTGTGAGCCTGTTCCTGTTGTGTTTGTTTGTTCTTCAGATTCTACATGAGTGGAATCACAAGGTATGCGTCTTTCTGTAATTTATTTCACTTAGCAAATGGTTAAGGTTTCATTTTTTATGGTTGAGTAATATTCCATTATACATATGTACCACTTGGAGATGTGGAGAAAAGGGAACCCTCTACATGGTTGGTAAGACTGTAAATTGGTGCCTCCATTATTAAAAAACAGTATGGAAGTTCCTCAAAAAATTAAAAATAGAACAACCTTATGACCCAGCAATTCCACTTGTGGGTATTTACCTGAAGAAACCCAAAACACTAATTTGAAAAGATAAATGCATCCCTATGTTCACTGCAGGATTATTTACAATAGCCCAGCTGTGGAAGCAGCCCATGTGTCCATCAGTAGACAACTGGATAAAGAAGATGTGGCTTATCTCTTTTTAAGTTTTATTTAACACACTAAAGGGGATGAGAGAGGTTACTGCTTTATCAAAGGGTTTGCTCTGAGATTCATCTAGACACAGTCTGTGGGCTTTTCCTACTGCACCCACAATGCTTGATTCGCACGCAGCTTTTCAAGATCTTTTAATTTTTTTTTTAGATGAAACAATGCCCACTTGTACAAAGCCACTGGAAAAATAGACAAAGAGTAAGTGGCTCTTCAACTATTAACTAAACACAGTGCCCAACCTGGTCTGCCTTCTTTGGTCATTATGTACATGGACTTCAGCCAGCCGCAGAGACAAAGCGGGAGAGTGTGCGGCACTCAGCCTGAGGGGCTGTCTGGACACACAGGGTCTCGATGAGCAACAGGCCAGAGGCAAGGCCAAGTGAGAAGATGCAACATCTACATCGACGGCATCACAGCACCTACAGCCAGCTGGCTCTTTCTTTTCATTTTTTTCTGGAAAACAAGGTTTGTTTTAGAAGGGGAGACTTAAACATTTTTTTATCAGATTTATGAAGGTAAAAATAAAATTCACATAATTTAGCCCTGGCTGGTGTGGATCAGTGGACTGAGTGCCAGTTTGCAAACCGAAAGGGTCGCTGGTTTAAGCAGGTGAGGACAGGCACCTGAATGCTGGGCCACAGAGAGCTGCGGGGCTGGGGGGCACATACATCCCTCCCTGGAAAAGAGCTATCTGAGCTGAGACTCAAGAGCAGCCCAGAGGAGTCCAGTGCAGGGGCCTGCAGGCAGCAGAGAGCACAGAGAGTACCCATGGGGGTCCTGCAGAGGGAGGAGGGGGCGGGGGCCCCTGGGCGGCTCACAGGGGTGGAGAAGACAGCAGTGGTGGGCATGAGCCCCTCAGTCTCAGACCTCTTTTGTCGCCCAGCACCACACCCCACCTTGACCCAGGCTATCTATTGCCTGGGAAGCAGGGACAGCAGAGTCCTCTGAGTGCTCCAGGGTGTGGGGCTGCCTGCTATCCTCTCAGCCAGGCATGTGGAAAGGAGCTGTCTGCATGCCTACAGGGGCCCCTGGGAGGGCCAAGCTGCTGTAGCAGCAGCAGGGGAGGGGGGCTCTCACCCTTAGGGGCCTAGCCCCAGCTCCGGGAGGCAGGACAGAGCTGACACCTTCCAGGAGGCAGGCTTGAGACACTGGCCTGGTTGGCAGAGCTAACCTTGCTACTCTCCAGGGAAGCCCTGGGAGGAGGCAACGAGCTCCCTCACAGGCTCTCCGGGAGAGGAGGACTGTTTCTGTGGAAGGGTGGCATAGCCAAGGGACCCTGGCAGGGACAGAGACACTTCTCAGGTGACCCCAGGCGGGCTGTTCACCTCACCATGGCCCAGACGGCCTTATAACCTCCCACCAACATGGCCTCCAATGACCAGCTCCAGGTGCCTGTGGGGCTGCGGGTGGGGGGGTGCCCATATCCTAGGGCTCATTTGCCAGAATCAGGGACACAGCCAGGCACAGGGCAGAGTCCTTGTGTTCCGATGGGACAGAGTCCAGTCTGGCCCTTTTGGCCACAACAGCATCCCAGTTCTGGCACTCACATCGCCTCTTGGGCTTCCAAGGCTGGGTTGCAGCCACACCAGGTCCAACCCTCTGACTAGACCTGCGAGGAGGCAGAGACGGCCTGAGCCACGGCTGAGCAGGGCCAGGCCCGGGGGCTCTCCATGCTGCCCTGCATGCCACCGACAGGGTGCAGGGCCCAGGCCACCAGAGCCACTCTATAGGACAAGAGGACCCTGCTTCCATTCCTCAGTGTGGCCCCCAGACAGGCAGCAGGGGCATCCCCTGAGAGCCCATTAGAAGTGCAGACTCAGGCCCAGCTGGACGATATGAGTCAGAGTCGGATGCAAACCCAGCCCCAAAGGTCGCCAGAGCGGCCATGCCATTCCACACCATTTTGAGGGCCCTCGAAAGCCCACTCAAGTACTGACAGAATCGCTGCCAGAAAGCTGTCCCGAGGGTGCCAGTGTGGCCCTCCTTTGTCTGTCTGTTGCTACCCCACAAGTTATTCTCCCTCCTCTGATTGCCCTACGCATGTGCCCTGGGGTTCACCCTTATTTCCACAGTGCAAATGAGTCCCCCCGCGAGTCGTGACAGATTCAGGACCTGGCCAGTTCGTGGCCCTCCACCCAGCCCAGGCCCTAGGAAAGGACCACCCAACACTCTGCTTCTGGAGGTGATTGCCCCATGGAGCAGTCCCTGAGAGTGGCATAGGTCCCCTTGATGGCGTCCAGGGCCCCAACCAGAGCGTGGCCGCAGCAGCCCTTCAGAAGTGCCTAGAGACTGGCATGAGGCAGAAGGCAAAATCCGGCCATGCTTTCCTGAAACAGCGTGACTGTGTGCCTGATTCACCAGGAGTGACCCTAGTGACCACAAGTTACTTATGACACCACAAAGTTTTGTCACCATGCAGGGAGGACAGAGATCAAGGTTCAAGTGCCCTGCCTTGACAAGCCTTGGTAACACAGACTTATTGGGAGACGTCTCAGGGCCTCCTGTGGGAAGCGGCCCAGAGAGCAGCAGGGCTGGGCTGGGGGAGACGCGGGGGGCTCAGGAAAGCTGAGCACCTACCGTGCAGCCCCTGCCCAGGGACTGTCTGAGTCCTCACCACCTAAAGGAAAGCACTTCACTGCACACACAAGGGCAGAAGGAGGTTAAGCAGCTTGCCCGAAGCCACACAGCTAAGTAGGAAAGCCTAGCCTGTGTTTCTAGCCACTAAGCTCACCCTCCTTCTGGCTGACAGGCTGGGACTGACCATACACTGAGGCGGGAGATGCTGTCTAACAGCCCCACCCATTCCAACATCCTGCCGTTCCAAGAAGAGCGGCAAATGGGGCTGCTTCCTCCACATCCTGGCCAGTAGACCTGGGTCCCAAGCACACCTTCCCACCAGACTGGAGCTTTACCCGTGTGTGAGATTGGGGCAGAGGCATGGGCAGTGTGGGCCACTCCACTGCAGCTTCTGGCACTTCCCTTGAGGGGATCTAGACTTGTGCTCTGAAGGAAGGAGAAAGCACCTAGCCAGGTGACATGAGGTGGCCATTCCTGGACTTCATCCTGAGTAAGCTTGCCTTGGACCAGGCCCTCCTCAACTCCACAGGGCATTTCCCATTCCAAGGGCCACTGGTGTCCTCCGCTTCCCACAGGGCACTCGCAGTGAGGCTGTCTGGCCTGCCAGACCCTCAGCACCTCACCAGGATGTGCCTGACCTCTCCTGGAGAAGTCATTGAGTGGAGGCCTGTGCGGCTGCTTCCCAGCTCCAGTCCCCGTGGCCCAGGGGCCCTGGGACAAGTCAGACCACAGGTCATGGATCCTCTTGGTTCCCTGAGGGCTCAGGCCAGATGAACCCTAGTCCTGCTCAGTGTCACTCAGAATCCTCCTCCCTGCTCCTGCACTTGCTTTCCACCACCCCCTGGGCATGGGTAGCCTTTGTGGGAGGCCAAGTGTGCAGCCTACAGACTCCTCAGCCTGCCGTCTGTGGTCTGCAGGCCCTGGCCTACCTCTAAGAGCTCTTGTGGGGATGGGGGAGGTGCTCCTTCCCCTTGGGGACAGGGAGCGGTACTGGTGGGTACCAGCCAATGCCCTGTGCCATCTCCTACTAGGCTTCTTTGGGTAGGCCTGGATGTTGGTGGTCCTGATCTGAAAACTCTGGAATTCCAGATTCCCTCTTCCTTCTCTTAACTCCCTTGTCCTGCCCTCTCCACCCCCTGTATCTGATCTCCCTTGTCACCATGTTGGAGTTACTTCCCCCAAAGCTCAGTAGTGTGGCTGAGATTTCCTGTGTTCCTTGTGCCTCTGGCTTCCATCATGTGCAGACGACACCTTACCTTGCTCAATACCAAGCAAGTCCTAGGTTAAAAACAAAGCCCTGGAGCCTGCTCAGTTCCCCTCCCTTTCTAAACCCCTGGCCCTGGCACTCATGCTGCCCAGGATCCCGATGAGAGGTGGGCATGAGGCCTCCAGGGAGAGCCTGGCCCAGCACTGACACACGGGCAGTCCTAGGGGACCACGTGGGAAGCGGGCCAGTCTGGTCAGAAGACTGGGCACTTTTGCAGGCCCTGTTTTTCTGCCCAGATAATCCTTCTTTCCGTACCTGGTGTGGTGTCTCCTTTTCATCCCTCAGGCCTTATAGAGGCCTTCCTGACTCCCCTTCCACCCCACCAAGTTATTCTCTCTCCAAGCCCCGGTTCTTCTGTGCTCATATCTCTGGCACGTCAGTCCCACACGGGAGAGGGGCGTGTCTGGCCTGTTCGTAGCGTCTGGGTCCTGGCACTTGGCAGATGCCCCCTGGCTTCCCAAAGAACAGCCCTGTGGCCCCTGACACCTGCACCTGACCTTTGCCGGCAGTGGAGCTCAGGCTGGTTTGTAAACACTCCACTTGGCCTCTGCAGGTGTGAAATAGTGCCACCGTGCTCCTGGCCTGCTGAACTGTTTCTTGTGGAATTAATTACTTCCGAGTTGGCTGCGAGCACCCCAGACACAGGAGAATGGCCTTTAACTCGGGCCGTTGAGAAAGGTGCAGGCCCCCTGAACCTCTCTAACTGGTTACTGGGCTTCATCCAGCCCTCAGCCTCATGTGGAGGCCCAGTCCCTGGCCATCGCTGTTCTTCCCTTTAAAAGGAAAGGAAAGAAGACCAAGCCCAGTGGGCAGAGCACTGTGTCAGCATGTGGCAAACGAAATGATCTCAGCTCAGCTTTGATGGCAGCGGCAGAGATGACGAGGCGGCCTTCATTGGCGTATAGACTTTGCAATCCTCAGGAGCTCCTTGGGATTTTGTGGCCTGCCTCCAGACTGCGAGCCCTTGTTGGGCTACCAAGAGTCCGCTGTGTTCTCTAGGCCACAAGCCAGGTCACCCTTCAGCCCTACCCCTGGCACGGGAGTTGCTCCTCCTACACCCAGACCCTCTAGCAGTGGTACAAAGGCAGCCATGCCTCCCCACCCCCAGGATTAACAGTGAGGCTCTCCTGAGGCCGGGCACAGGCTGGTTTTGGAGCATCTCTGTGCTGCCTCCATGAGCCAGCAACAGGCCGGGTGGGCTGGATGGGGAAGGTGGGGCGTGTGGGGTTATGTGACAAGGTGTCCTCAAGCTGCAGCCTATAGACTGGCAGACACCATCGCTGCATCTTTTTCTTCTTTGTGTCCTTGGCAGGTTTAGCAAATGTCAGAAATGCTCCTGGTTGGTTAAATCCTAGCAAGCCGTTCCGGCCAAGATGGAGGCATAGGTGGAAACACTACACCTCCTCACACCAAGTTTAAAGACCACAAAGTTTTAGTAACAAAAACGCAACCAAAACACAGAAAATTGAACTGTACGGAAGTCTGACAATGAACCATTCATCCAGACTGATAAGAGGGGCGACATCAGCAGTTGGCAGAGCGGGGTCGCGCAGAAAAAGGTGGCCAGCTGACCTAGGCGCGTAGGCAGCGGTTGGCAGATCCCAGGCACGGGTGCCAGTGAGTGGACTCAGTGAGGGTGTGGGGTGGCTGGCTGACCGAGGTCACACATTCACACACAGATAAACCAGGCAGAGGAGTGAGCAGTGAGACAGACCACGCAAACCAGGGCCCCATTGCCAGGAATTAAAGCCTAAAAGCACCAATTGGAAAAACTTTTGAGGTCTAGGTACCAGGAGAGGCTCCCAGGCTCACAGAGAGTTCGTTGGAGAGACCCACAGGGACCTGGAGGGTGCACAAGCCCAGACCCCCGGGAACCAGCCTCAGAAGGGCCCAATTTGCTAGCAGGAAGCAGCAGAGGGGACCGAAATGGGAGAGAGAGCAGAACAAACTCCATTGCCCCTCTCTGACCCCGCCCCCATATACAGCATCACAACCCAGAGACTGGGTCGCTTCACCCTGGTGAACATCTAAGGCTCCGCCCCTCCTACATAACAAGCGTGAACAGACCAAAACATTATGGCTCAAGAAGAACAAATCAAAGCCCCAGAGCCAATACTTTCAAGCAACTAAGAGATAGCCAACCTATCAAATGCATAGTTTAAAACACTGGTGATCAGGATGCTCACAGAACTGGTTGATATTAGTCACAAATTAGAGGAACATATGAAGGCTAAACTAAGTGAAATGAAGGGAAATACATAGGAAGCCAATAGTGATGGAAAGAAAACTGGGACTCAAATCAACGGAGTGGACTAGAAGGAAGAAAGGAACAACCAAACAGAAAAGAAGGAAGAAACAAGAATTCAAAAAAAGGAAGAGAGTCTTAGGAACCTCCAGGACATCTTTAAACGTTCCAACATTTGAATTATAGGGGTACCAGCAGGGGAAGAGAAACAGCAACAAGTGGGAAACTTATCTGAACGAATAATAAAGGAGAACTTCCCCAATCTGGCAAAGGAAATAGACTTCCAGGAAGTCGAGGAAGCTCAGAGAGCCCCAAAGAAGGTGGACCCAAGAAGGAACACACCAAGGCACATCATCATTACATTAGCCAAGATGAAAATGAAGGAGAGAACTCTAGAAGCAGCAAGAGATAAGGGGACAGTCACCTACAAAGGAGTTCCCATCAGACTGTCAGCAGATTTCTCAAAAGAGACCTTACAGGCAAGAAGGGGCTGGAAATAAGTATTCTGAGTCATGAGAGGCAAGGACCTACATCCAAGATTGCTCTCTCCAGCAAAGCTTTCATTTAGAATGGAAGGACAAGTAAAGTGCTTCTCAGATAAGGTCAAATTTGAGGAGTTCTTCATCACCAAGCCCTTATTGTATGAAATGTTAAAGGGACTTATCTAAGAAAAAGAAGATAAAAAAGATGAACAGTGAAAGGACAGCAAACTCACAGTTACTAACAACCACACCTAAAATAAAAGCAAACTAAGAGGACAGCTATATCAGGAGCAGAAACCATAGAAATGAAGATCTCATGGAGAGTTAGCAACAGGGGAGTGGGAGAAGGAGAAGGGGGGAGAAGGTACAGAAAATAAGTAGCATAGACCGTAGATAGAAATAGACAGGGGGGAGGGCAAGAATAGTATGGGAAATATCGAGTCTAAAGAACTTGTGACACATGGACATAAATGAAAGGGGGGGAATGATGGGGGAGGGGTGTGCAGGGTGGAGGGGAATGAAGGGGGTGAAATGGGACAACTGTAATGGCATAATCGATAAAATATATTTAAAAAATAAAATAAATCTTAGCAAGCCCACCACCCCCTAGCCTGGCCACATGAGGCCAGCACCAGCTTGAAGCCTGCTGCTGCAGACGTCCTAGGGAAGCCCAGCCGCCTCCTTGAAGGAGCCCAGAATGTGGTGTATTCAGGGCTGTGGGGCCAGCTGGGCCTGCTGGGGAGTCTTCCATGCCAGGGGGAGGGCTGAGGGGTGACCTGGCTTGTGGCCAAGGGAACACAGTGGACCCTGTATGGGTTGGCCACACAGGTGGCAGTGGTGTATAGCAGGTCCTGGCTCACGGCTTGGCTGTGGCACATGCTATTCGCCCTGATGCTGTTATTTTCTTTCTTCCCCTGTGGTTCTGCTTGGGCCGCTGCCCATGCAGAAGTGACACTGGACATGCTTACTTATCATTAGCATGTTGGTGATTTGGCCTGTGTGCCTGAGTGCAGGACCCCTGGGAGGTGCAGAGGAACCAGGTGTGGCGCCCTCTTCTGGGCTGTTCATAGGCTGCTTGAGGAGGGAAGGCAGGAGCAGAAAATGCTCCCACTTTGGCTCAGAAGACACCTTGCCATGATCCAGGCCCAAGCAAGGAGCTGAGAGGCTGAGAGAGGGGACAGGGCAGAGCAGCCTTGAGGCCCAGGCCCCTGAAGGAGGCAGGCTTTTGCAGGAAGAAACTAGCAGGAGAGGAACAGGTTTCTCAGGCAGAGGGAACTTTTTTTTAATGGATAGGTTTCAAGCATACAGAAAAGCAGAGAATGAACCTCCCACACTGTCAAATAGTTTCCAGAACATCTTGCCTTATTTGCTGAATGGTAGCATTTCTAGAACTAAGAATACACTTCCTACCTCAGCACAACTTCATTATTACAAGAGAGAACATTTTGAGCGAAAGTTTGGAAGCAGGCAAGAGTAGTGTTTGTTCTGAAAAGGAATGAAGGAATGAGCCACTGAATGTGTGCAGCCCTGAGAGGTGATAAGGGAGATGGGCTGTGTCTCGTTGTCACAATGTAGTTGAAGAGATGAGAGGGACGCTGGCCAGTGGTCCCTCTCGCTGGCCAGGCACTGGGACAGACCCTCTCCAGTGACAAGTGGCCAAGGCCATTCAGAAATAAACTTTTATTTTGGAATACTAAATTTCCAGGAAAGCTGCACAGATGCCCAGGGAGTCTTCAAGCCTGTGGCCAACCCAACTAAGGCTGGAGCCACCGGACCTGCGGCCCATTAGTTACAACTGCAGCTGAGAGAGCTCACCCCTTCTGTGGGCAGAAGCAGTGCTTTTCTGCTGGGTCTGAGGACTCGTCAGCTTTGGAGCCCAGCAGACAGGAGGAAGGCACACCCTCCTATAGCCATTCAGTCCCCTCAGACCCACCTGGTCCCCTCAGACCCACACCATGCTGAGGGCAGAGCAAGGACAGGAAGGGGGGTCATTTGCCCAGCAGTAGGGAGGAACATAGAAGTCAGCGTCCTGACTGAAACTCAATCCCCTTCACAGAGTGGTGCAACTGTACCTGAAACTAGTCCCACCCGCCAAGGAGCCAGAGAGCTAGGTGTGAGGACTCTCCTAGCTGGGTACAGTCTGGGCTCCAAATACCATGTTCAGTGCTAATCCTTCAACCCACTGGAACATTCCTCATGACCTCTGAGGACAGGGACACTGATGGTGCTCTGCCACCCAAGGAAGGGACAAAACAGAACAGCACGGTCTCTGCCTGCCACAGGGCCGTCTCTGCGGATGAGCTTGCATGGCTTGCCTGCGGCCCCGACCAGGCTGGGCACCTCGTGCCTTTGCAGATGCAAGGCTGGGACAGGGCTCAGGGGGTCAAAAGTCACATGCACAAGCCACACCAGGCAGTCCAATTTAGTACACAGGGTGCTAGGCCTCCCTGACAGTCTTGGTCACAGTCACACCCTGCCACTCCAGCCCAGAAGCAGACCCCAGGCATATTGCCCGTGTACACACATGCAGTGTAAGGATGTTCACTTTAAAAGCCTGAACTAAAGTAAATGTCTATCCACGAGAGAATGGTGAATAAATCACAGCCATGCGTCAGAACACCAAGTAGCGACTGAAAAGAACGCATACATCCACAGATGGGAAAGTGACCAATCTCTGAAACTCGCTAAGAACCACTTACAGGGTTAACTAGAACAGGGCCTGGCAATCAGGAAACACAATGGTTAGTGTCCACGGTTGTTCTAAGATCAGCATCCTCTACTTTTATGAAGGGGAAGATGCGGGCTGTGGAGAGGCTGCCATGTGGCAGAAGAGAGGGTCGAAGTGCACAGAGGCACCTGTGCCCAAAGAACATCTTGGGAGGGTCATGGAAAACTGGCAAGGGGGCGCAGGAGAAGGGGGCCAGGGACAAATTTTCACTAGATGCCTTTGGTCCTGTTTGAATTTCTATTATGCACATGTATTATCTACTTTCACATTTGTGATTGTAAGCATACACACTACAGAGACACTACAAAGAACACAACCCTGTGCCCAGGCGTGAGGGGCAGGTGGCTGCATTAGGAAGGCAGGGACCTGAGGCAGCCACTGGGACTGATCACTGACCTTCATGGTGAGGGAGGTGGTGCAGCACTTCAGGGGTCTCCACTCCAGGGCCGGGGTGTCTCAGGCCAACACACCTGACTGTGGTGGGGGCAGACCAGGAGGGAGCAAGACAGGTGCACTATGGGCAGAGATGACAGCTGACAAGGAGCCGGAAATACTGGAACAAGTGTAGGGTCCAGAGAAGTGCAGCAACCGGGGCCACACAGGCAGGGACGTGGGCCCGCTCTGCAGCAGTCTGAGAGGCGCCTGGGCCCATGTCTGTGCTGCTGGGGGCAAGGCCGCCTATGTGTGACGTTAGGAAGAACATGTGCGGGACTTAAAAGATGAGAAAAAAAATAACTCAGGGCATTTAAGTTTCACTGAAAACTGGAAAGTTCACTGGTGAGAAACTTCTGGGTCTCCCCCAAAAGGTCTGGACAACAGTCATCTCATCTACCCAGTTACTCTCACATGTGCCTAGCGTTCTGTCCCTCAGGGCAGAAGCCACCACCTGCAAGGGAGGCATGGCCCTCACGCCTGGGAAAACTGAGCAGCTCAGTGAGGGCACACTCCAGGCAGGCACGGGGGGCGGCCACAGCGCCTTCCCTGGACGTGTCCCTCGCCCACGGAGGCGGGCCTGGTTTACCACTCACGAGCGGTCCGGGTCAGGCTGCTACTGCTCTTGTTTCTTCCTAACGATCCTGCTGCTGTCTCCATACAGAGATCCAAAGTCTAAAACCAGGCCAAGGTGTGTACCAGAAATACCAAGAAAAATACCTTATGAAGTACATGGCTGTCCAACAGCTGTGTTGTACACTTGAAACTAACAAAATCATATTGAATATAAACTGCAAGTTTAAAAACTTTTAAAAAAGGAAAACCTGCAATCTGTCCCTAGTATCTAAATCTATAAAATATAAATAAATAAGTATTTAAAAGCGTAAAATTAAGACATTGGATCTCACACCTGACTTTCCAAGCTCCCAGGGAGGAGGTGTCTCAGCCCAGATGGTGGAAGGTGTCAAACCCACGCCCAGGGAACAGTGTCTTCTGAACAGGCTGCTCCTGCCAGCCTGGCTGAGGACCGCCTGTTCCTCTGTGGGCCTGGGAGGCCGCAGGGCCCAGCCCTGCACTCACCACCTCCAGAAACCAGTCTTTAGAAACTGCAGGTTTCTATTCGGGTATGAGGACAACTGGTGGGCTGAGGGTTAGCAAGGCTGTGAGGTTCCCACACTGTGCTCTGGGGATTGAGCTCTCAGGGTTCCCAGTGGCCATCCTCCATACAAGCCACAGGTCAGATCTAGAGCCAGACAGCAAGGGGTCAGGGTGACAACAGCCCCTCCAGAGAAGGACACCCTGAAATTCTCTTCTGCCTACCACCTGTAGTTGGTGGGGGAAGCCCCCAGGCTGCTGTCTGAGCTCAAAGCGTCGTCCGGGGCTTAGCTGCACACATGCTCTGACCTTCCGCCCTCCACTTGCACTCACCCTTCTTTCCCAGGGAGGCAGTGTGCAGATCTGAGACTGAGCAGAAGCAATGGTACGCCACACCCCAGAATCATCTTTTCCGACTGCCACCCAGGTTCTGTGTCAGAGATGACGCCCGAAATCGTGCTCCTGGCTGCCTCACCCTCAGAACGCCCCTAATTCTGCATCCTTTAAGCCCACAGATGCTCAGGCCCAGGAAAGCCCTCGCCCCACCCTCCCTCTCATCACGTTGGCATCCTCCAGGAAGAACCACCTCCAGAACCCTCCACAGCACCCTTCACAGCCAGCAACTCAGCGAAACGAGGCTCATGGCTCCATCCAGCTCTGTGCCTCTACTTGGGAAGTCTAGCGAAATCTAGAAACTTCTCACATGGATCCTTTTATATTTTCCTTAGCCTGTCTTGAAAAATGCCATCTTCCAGCCACAGCGGCTGATGGGCTGCATTTGAGAGTTGATTTTTCTCTCTCCTGCTGCCCAACACACACCCTGCAAAGGCTAGGGCTGCTCCAGGCTGGAGAGCCAGAATCTTCTGTGGGAGGGGACACTTGACCTGTACCCCAGGAGGCAGGCTGAGGCCAAGCCAGGAGGCCCTGGGGCAGGATCCTGCAAGGCAAGAGGTGCCTCCGACATCTCTTGTCCGTTTCTCCTGCAGAAGTAGCTTGTGCACAGGTACTTGGCTTTCAATATAGGGAGACAGCATGAGGAGATCTGGACTCCTTTACCTCTGCCATCAACCACGGTGAGACCAGGGCCTTTGTCCTTCAGTAGACAGGTGACATGCGTGACAGTCAATAAAGAGGCTGAGAGATGTAAACACCTGCTACTGCTTGGGACCCAGCCTGGTGGGCACAGTGCCCTGCTGGCAGGGGTGCGGGGACCAGCAATGGAGCCTTTCCATGGCAGTTTTCATCAGTATCAATCAGTGTGATTTCAGCAGATTTTTTTAAAAAAGAACTCTTAGCACAGAAGTGAAAGGAGGGGGATGATATCTATTCAGTCATTTATTCAACCAACACTTGCAGAGTGCTCACGGCCTCTCTGCTGTCTGGGAGGGGGCCCCAGAGTGGCCACAGCACACGTCTGCCTGAGCACTAATGGGCGCAGCTCTGAACCCTGAGCAGGCCAAGTTGCTGGATTCTCACAAGGACCCTGAGGCCCCTCACTGGCCTCCCGCCACCCCCAGCAGCAGGTACCAACTCCTCAGAAGATCCACAAAACCACTCTTCTAACTTCAACTCCCACCACTGTCCCCAACCGTCCTGGAACTTCCCTGTAACCAGCTGGCCCTTCCCCTGAGCCATGAATCCTGGGTCTGGCCTAGCACATGCCAGGGACCCAGTGGCCAATGTGCAGTGTGACCAGTGAAGGCTAGAAGACGTGCACACCCTCTCCTGTCTCTTTCCTTTCTCTACCACCTCCCCTGCCCCTTCCTCTGACCACAAGGTCAGATCACACAAACAGCAAGACGAGCGGACAGCCTAGTCACCATGGGTCCAGGCAGGAGCTGGCAGTCAAGGGCTCACACTTCTCCAGCTGAGACTCAGCACCTGGCACAGCCCTGCATGTCATTCACTAATGTCACCACAACCCTGGGACGGATGCCTCAGCGAACTCATCTCACAGAGGAGGAGACTGAAGCCTGGAGCCCAGGTGGGGACCTTGCCTGAGGCGGCATGGTCAGCGGCTTGCCACAGCTCAGACTCAGGTGACCGGATCCCAAGCTGGGCGCTAAGGCCTGCTGCCCTGCCTGAGCCCACTGTGAAGGACTAAAGCCACAGGACAGTTCCACAACAAAAGACCCAGGCAGATCGGCCACAGGAACAGCCACAGAGAGCTGACAGTGAGTGCCAGGAGCGAGAAGAGAGAAAGAACGGGCATGAGAAGTGCTGTACCAGCTCCGGCACTGTTCTGCCCCTGACGTTCTCCAAGGAGGCCCCGATGCTGAGCTAACATTACAGACAAGAAAGCGGAGGCTCGGAGAAGTCTGTACCGTCCCCAGGGCCCTCGTCGAGGGGGCACCATGGACAGGACAGCTGGCCTACTCAGAGGCCCATGCCCCCTCCCCTGGCCCAGTGAGATGGGCAGGGAGGACTGGCTGTGGGGAAGGTGGGGGAGGCCTGAGTGGGCAGGGCAGCATGATTACACAGAGCTCCTGGGACTGAGCAGGACAAGGACAGGCCTGAAGACACCTGCATCCACCCTTCTGGACGCAGAAGAGCAGTATCTCTTCTGGATGGCTGCCCCCTGTGGCAGGCCCACGTGAGGCCCTGCCCACAGGAAGTCCATGTGCAGCCATAATGTTGACAAGGGAGGGCAAACACTGACCAGGAAGCCAGGCCATCAGGAAGTCAGTGCAGGGTGCACACCAGCACACTACAGTCCAGGGGAGGGGACCACAAGGCGGGATCCCAATAGGTGCTCCAAGGGCCTCTTCTGCTGGCAGACCCCCACATTCTGCCCCATCCGCGCCAAGCCATGCTGCCGTTTAGGGCTATGTTTGCACCAGGCAAGCCTTCCAGGGGGTGGGCCGGAGGGTGGACAATGCACAGGAGTGAATGTGTCAGCTGCCAGGCCCACCTAGGCACTCTTAGCTGTGTGACCTCAGCAGGTCAAGCAACCTCTCTGGTCCTCAGCCGCTGCTGCTACTGCTGAACAATCCAGGGCTGACCTCTGCAGGTCCTGCCAAAATGAACCCACCCAGTGGTGGTGGCAATGACAACATGCTGCTTACTCATGACAGTCAGTGCTGAGGGTGCCCCCCTAGAAGCCACTGCTCCTACCCAGGGCTCTTCTGTCCATTCCCTATGGCCCAGATCCCTCGGCCCGGCCTCCGAGGCTGCCAGGGAGAACAGGTCCACGCCACCGCTCCCACCTACCCTTCCCGTGACCATGTCTAAGATCCCTACCGCCCGGAGCAGGCACAGGGTCTGAACAGGACAGCCCCGCACCCATCGCACCTCTCTTAGCACCCCTTTCTCCAGGGCTCTCCAGGCTGAGGGAAGGGACCTTGTCAGGTGCAGGTGCCTCTGCAGGTGGGCCGCAGGTGGGCGGGTCCGGGGGCCCAGGCCTAGCGCGCCCCTCTGTGGGGCCACCTCCCCACGGAACACTGCCTGCACTCAAGGGCCCAAACCTTCCCACGCAAAAGAGCACTCGCCCTGGGGCATCCTGTGCCACCCAAGCCAGCGTGCGGGTGGGCAGCCAGCCTCCCGAGGGAAGGTGGATGCAGACAGGTAAGCAGACACCTCAGTCCCCAGGGGTGTCACTGCTGGTGTAAGCAGGCAGGAATGGGGGCCCTCCTGCCTGTGCAGGGAAAACCCTCCCACAGAGCTCACCACCCTCATGGGATGTGACCCCCCCCTCAGGCTCCACTGCTTGCCAAGCTCGCCACCAGAACTGGGTAAGAAGTACCAGGATTTTGGAGAGACAGACATAGGGCACACCTCAGGAAAAGGGCAAGTTCAGGCCCAAGGTAGAGGCCTGACCAAAAAGGCAATTAAAACTGCACGAGCAAATAAAATTAATAGTAACAAACACCTCCAATGTGTATGTTTCCTGACACCACCAAGCAGTTTTCTCAATTCTGATACCATCTACTTTGAGAGGCATCCAGTCCCACAGGTTAAGAACTCAGTCCTTCGGAACTGCCCCTGCCCGTGTCAGATACCCTGGGGGTCCCCGCATCCCTTCTCGGGTTTGATTGATTTGCTGGAGTGCCTCGTGGAATTCGGAGAAACATTTTAGTTACCAGATCACCAGCACACAATAAGGGATGTGATTCGGGGGCAGCCAAATGGAAGAGATGCTCCGGGCGAGACCTGGGGAAGGGCTGGCAGCGCCCACGTGGCAGCGCCCTCGCCAGTGCCCGGCGCCACTGCCCCACCTCCCACCGACCCAGAGCTCTCTACACTCCATCCTTTGGCTGCATTACAATAGGTATGATTAATTAACTCATTTTCCACTGGCAATTAAACTCACCTTCAGCCCCTCTGCCCAATGTTCTGGAGGTCCCAGATGGCACAAAAAGTTCCAGCCCTCTGACTGGCACACAGCTCCCCACTGAGGAGACCTAGGGGCTGTCCGGAGTCACTTCATTAACAGAAGAAGAGACAGTTTGATCCCTCTTATCACTTAGGAAATTCCAAGGATCTTAGGAACTCAGCCAGTAACTGGGAGGGAGACCAAATACATGCCTTATAAATCACAGTATCATGTAACCCCTCCTACTGTACTGAGATTCATGGCTCATAAATCCCCATCCCGCCCGTTCTTCATTCAGGGCCCCATGCCGTGCTAGCGGGCAGAAGGGCAGGATCAGTGACACCCAGTGTGTGCCCAAGCACCCACCCACTTCCCACTCCGTGCTCTTTTTCTAAGCTAAGGGTCGCCCTGAGGCAGGATAACCCATTAAGTCCTGGGGCCACCCTTGCCACACTGGTGCCCTCACCACAGGTCCCTCCCACTGTGAGCTCACCTTGGGAGGCTGGACCTGGGTGCACCTGCTGTGTGTACCCTTGGTGGCTCCCTAGGGTCAGTCTGGTGGCCACACACAGTGGCAGGGAGGCTGTCACTGGTCTGCGCCCCACAGGGGCTGTCTGCCCAGCGGCACAAGCGGGCTCATCTCAGAGCATTTTCAGGACGGGCTGGTGGGATGAAGCAAAAAGGGGCACATGGGTGTTGGCTGGCAGATGCCCACCTGCACACAGGCATGGCCGTGTCCTGGTGCACAAAGCCTGGCCTCTGAGGCTAGGCCAGAGTCCCAGATGGTGGGCACTTGAGTCTGGAAACCATGGCTGAGAAACTTTTGCAGGCTCAGCCTCCCACCCTCTCCGAATTTCCCTTTTCCATCAGGCAGCCTGATTCTCCATCTGCCTCTGCACAGGCCCCGTTGGCTGGGTCTAGTCCCTCTTCCCAATCCCCGGCCCCTGTGCAGCATACACCTTGGCACCCCCAGCCATGCTCCCTGAGCCCCAAACGCCCGGGAGGCCAGGCCCCCAGGCCTACACCACTATGCCCTCTTCTGTGTCAACTCCTAGATTTGTCACTGTAGGACGGGCACCCACACGAGTGCTGGAGCCTTCCCGGAAATGCAACAAATGTCACCCAGGGTCTCCAGAACCTGGCTGAGCCCCACAGTGAGGAATGGGGACAAAGGTGGCAGGAATGGAACTGCCTCTTGGGCCACTGGCAACCCAGAACCCCACGGCCCGGCAGCAGTACCCAGGACACTGGAGGGCCCGACAGCACCGGGCAGCACAGGGCCCAGGGCGCCAGGCAGCCGCACACATCCGCTCCATCTCCTGAGTCTCCCAGGCTCGTCCAGGCTGACTCCCGACCGCTGGCTTTGAGGAAGGGGCCGGCCGCTGCAGAAATACACTCCAAGATAGTTGCTAAGGCTGTAGACATTTGCTGGGGGTGAGATTCTGGGAGGAGTGAAAGCACTTGGTCCACAGCTGGGCACAAAGCTGGGGAGTTTCCGGTGACACGAGAGCTTCCTGGGCATATGCTGCGCCGGACGGCCCCCACAGGTGCCTCTCCTTAGAGCCAGACATGGTGCTGGGCACCTCAGACTTCCAGAGCCCCTCACACTCATTCCCTCCCCAACAATCTCGCTGCCATGTCATGAGGAAAGAGGGGCAAAGGCTGCTCCTCCAGACCTAGGACAAAGCAATGGAGGGACAGGGAAGTGAAAGGACTTGCCAGGTCACAGAGCAAGTCAGCAGTGAAATGAGATGAATACCCTAGCCTCGGATATTCCCCACGGATCAACACCTGGACCCAAAAGAAGACCCGGGGAAGGGCGAAGACAGCAGCCCCACCAGGCTCGCTCCCAGGCTGCTGAAGCTCCCAGAGGCACCTCGTTTATTCACTCATGGGGCTGATGGAGGACCTACAACCCCTCACAGATGGAGATAGGAAGGCACCATCTTACCTGGTCCCCCAGGACTCACCCACCAGTGAGGAGGGACACCTTTGCAACACACCTCCCAACTCTGGCTGGTCTCAGCTCAGCTACGCCTGCTCAGGGAAGGCCAGCTAGAGGACCAGCAAAGGCCTGTGCAGGGAACAGGAGGCAGCCAGGCAGAGAGTGCAGAGGCCCTTCCAGAAAGAGGGGGCAGACTGCACAAGGGCAGGGGTCAGAGGAAGGCTGGCATCTGCAGAGCAAGAGGGTGGGAAGTAGGGTGGGAGGTTGCAGGAGATGTGCCCTGTGGAGGTGGGTAGGTGGGTCCACGAAAGGCCTCCCAAGCATTCGCTTCACCTGGAGGCCACAGGATCTACAAGGACGTCTAAGTAGAAGGGCCCCGCCTGCTAGGAATACCCAGGAAAAGGTGGGGTAACCCAAACCTGCCCCCCTGCCCTGCTTGGGAAAAATCCCAGACTACCGACACCAAACCACACATCCAGGAGCAGGATCCGCGGGGCCCCAACCACCTGGATGCCACACACACACACACACACACACACACACACACGCACACACGGCGCTGCAGAGGCCAGGACCAAAACCCAGCCCCCGAGGGAGATGTGCTTGGACCCACCCACACAGCACGGGCTTCCTGAGGAAGCTTAAAGCCCACCTCTAGAATACCGAAAACTGAAGGAAGGGTGAGCTCATGGAAGAGACCCACTCTGCCAGGGTGCACCCAGGGCCCAGGCTTGAACGGGGAGAGCCTCCTCTTGCTTCCTTCCCTTTTGTCCGTAACTGTGTCACTCCGAGTGATCCCAGCAGAGACCAGGAGCTGCTGACCCAAAGTGCCACAGACACATTATCAGCATGGTGCTGGAACACTGAGATTCTAAAGTTCATCCTGGCCAATGGCACAAGTCTCCCCTGGCAAGCCACTCACAGCAGCCCCGCGAGGAGATGCTGCTGTCCGGTAAGGCTCTCCATTCAGAGATGGACAGGCCATAGGGCCAGGGCAGGCAGGCAAGGCTGCTTCTGGCCCAAACTCTAGTCTATACCCTGGCTCAGAAAAGAACATCACACAGATGCCAAAGAACATCTTGCACTTGAGCCAATATCAAGGCTAGAGGAGGAAGCATGGGTCACTGGTAACAAGGAGCAGACTCCACAGCCATGGAGCCAAGGCCAGTGACACCATTAGTTCTACAGGTACCCAGCTGAACACAGCCGGGCAGGGGCTGGGGGCTGGAGGAGACCCAGGGGGTTGCAGTGGCCTAGGTGACATAGTCGGGAGGGACAAGTGGCCAGCCACTAAAAGAGTCCTGTGCTCTCAGAACCAAGGACCTGCCAGCCAGCTCTGCTGAGAGAAAATGCTTACAGATTATGCCCATTGCCCAGCTCAGCATTTCTACAAACACCAGACTCACCTGGCTGAGGGAGACTTGTCCTGATACAGCCGCTTGGAGCCCGGTGGGTATGTGGCTGGGCCCTGGGAGCCAGGTTTCTGAGCCAGATAAGAGCAAGGGTCTCAAGACAGTCTGGTCCACGTCCCCATGGCAGGTCCCCTGTGTGTCTGAGGGAGTCACACACGCACACTCACACGTGCCTGCCCATACTCATACTTACACACACACACACACCCCCCACACTAACATGCTCATACTTTCATCAGATCACAGTTCAAGGAGGGCAGGTGATACACTCGGAACCCTGGGCCCAGCACAGGGTTGCCCCAGAGTGGGATTGGCAGAGTGAGTGGGTCCCAGCATTTCCAAGCCAGACAGGGTCTCAGCTGATGTCCTTACCCATGGCTGGAGAAACACAGGCCCGGAGGGCAGCGTGGACAGAGGACACAGACCTGGCCCCTCCCAGTAGCAGGCCAGCTCCCTTGTTCCAGCCTGAAGCATTTGCAGGGCCAGTTTCCTAGCACCTGTGGGGATCCCCCAGGACACCCCAAAATGAGCCAACAGACTGTTGGCTGAGGCTCTGAAAGCAGAAGCTGAGGCTGCATGGCTAGTGCACACTAGAGGAGTCAGGCAGGGCAGAGAGCGGCAAGGGGCAGGGCAGGCTGCGGAGCACACCCTTCTGCCCCGCTCTCACGGGCACCTCCTTGAGCCTGCGTGTGGAGCCCAGGAGTCCCTCGCCTTGCCCACAGCGCCACCTGCCATCCTGCTGCCCTGGCTCCCTCTGCAGCCCACAGCCATGAGCTGGCACCACCAGTCCAGGGACTTGGAAGGATAAAGGTCACTCTGCCAAGGAACCCTCCACCCCCACCAGGCAGTGAGAGGAAAAGCCGCCTGCTCTCATTCTCACCCTCTGGGAGAAGTCTCCTCTCCCTTGTCACTCCCTAGGGTAACCAGTCAGGATGGAGGGACTCCAGGGCTACAGCTAGGAAAGCCCAGGGCCACAGGGCAGGCAGGCAGTGGTGCTACAGATGTGGGACCAGCACACACCAGCAGGGCCCAGCTGGGGCTTTGGCTGCAGTCTTGTCTGGAAGACCAACCGTGATATGTCTCCACCCACTAAATACATTTCCTCTGTGAGCACACGTGAGGGACCGCAGAGCCCAGCAATGGACCTCAGAGAGGGGGTCTGGGGCTCGGCTGTGGGGGGCGGCAAGGGCGGCAGTGTCCTGGGGGCTGTACACTGGCTCTTGAAGGGCAGCAGGTCTCAGGCCTGGGCGTGAGTGGGAGTGCCGGGGCGGGCAGGGGCAGAGCAGGCTGGGGCCGGGGGTTTGGAAGAGCACGACCTCACTCAGAGGCACTCCTTCGATGCCGAAGAACCCACATGCCGGGCCCGCCCCGCCTGCACGTGTGGTCCTGACAGGGTTATCAGTGACCCCCCTTCACTTTCCCAAGAGTCCCCACATGGAAAATTAACTATATGGTCACTCTGTCTACAAACCCACCTGGTTCACCAGGGCATCTCAAAGTGCTTCAGTCAGTTCTGGTGTCCATGACAAGCAGTTTGCCTTCGACACCAAAGCATGTAAACAATTTCTCTTTCAAACAACAGGGGAGAGCTCCAGGCTGCGCTGTGCTAACACGGGCTTGCTTGCCTGTGTCCTAACACAGAGGGCGTCCCAGGAGCTGCCACACACAGGCCCCCACCACCCCCACGGTGGGGCCCAGGACAGGGAAACCCCGAAGTCCCCCTTCTTCACAGTCAGGCCCATGCAGACGTCACAGAGGGGACGGCCCTCCCCCACCAGGGGCCACGGCAGAAAGCTGGGAAAGAGCCCAGTTCAGGAACCAGCCAGCACTGTCTACAGGCCCATTGTGAGGTGGTGCTGGGTGCGAGCCCGCAGTGAGGCCAACACTCTGCTATCCGTGCAGCGCACAGTGCCTGGGCTGGGCACATGGGGGCAATGCATGCACCACATCAGCGCTCTCAGCGCTCTAGTTAAGAAGGCTGAGGGCCAAGCAGTGGCACGCAGGGTGGCCTCACTGAGAGCAACAGGGGCGACTGAGACCCTCAGGGGACCCTGGTAATGTCTGGAGACATTTGAGACCATCAGGACTTGGGACGACCACTGACACCTGGTTGGCAGAGACCCAGACATGGTCAAACAAACTGCAGTACACAGGATGGCCCAAAACAGCTCCACCGCCAAGGTCAGCAACCCTGACTGAGAGGGTAGGACTAGGGAGGGCATTGTGAGGAGCAGGGACAACAGTACAGGCGTATGGGACCCTGGGTGACAGACCTCATCAGCAGGGAAAGGCAGGAACCCACAGTGACCAAGGGTGCAGAGATGAGGGTGCTGCCAGAGAGAAGCCCCACAGGCCAGGCAAAAGGGCTCACACCGTCTCCTGGACAAATAGCACCCCTGAGGGCACGGGGTGAGGGCCAACCCCCGGCCCCGTGTTTACGACGTGTGAGTGAATGTGTGTGTGGGCAAGGCCGGAGGGGCCGGGGAGAGGCAGGCAGCACCAGCCGCCCGCCCCATGGTGGTGGCAGCTCCATGTTGAGCAGGTGAACCTATAAGGGCCGTCTTGCGGGTGTGGGCACAAGAAAGCAGGAAAAGTTAGCCTGGGAGCTCTGCGCTGGGCCCCCGAACAGGGTTCCTCCTTCTTGGGGATGGTGGAGGAGAGCACGCTGAGGAAGTCTTGGCCGGGGCCCAAAGAGCCAGCTCTTTTTGGGTCTAACGTGCCCAGGTTGGGCGTTGACAACTGGCCCCCAAGCTCCTAGAACTCTGCGATGATTCTGGGCCAGAGGCCAAGACACAGATGAAGGGAAAAGCCCCATTAGTCCCCCTGTAGCACCTCATCTTTTCAGTACAAATCGGTTTGTAGCCTCTGAGAACAGAGATGGCCCAGTCTGTCCCCTGGCACCCATGGGCTCCCATGGGGCACGGCACACAGTGGTTCTCCATGAACCTCCGCTGAGAGAGTAACTGACAGACAGAGAAAGAGGACTTTCACAAGGACCCAAAGACTGTGAGCTGGAAAAGCAGGTGGGGCACAGGAAAGAAGGTGTCCACCAAGAGCGAGGGCCAGCAATGTTCGAGTTTCCCCAGGGAATGAAGACGAGGAAGGCAGAAAGCCTCCTCTGGACAGAGCAGCACAGAGCGTGAGGCCTGTGGGGAGGGTGCTGCCAGTGGAGACTGGCACACCGGCTGCTGGGGGGTTGTGGGGGAGGAAAGAACTGGGCTACCATGCTAGGGGGAGAGGGGTGGGGGACCCAACACACAGGCAGACCACTCCAGCTAACAACCTGTAGCACTGCCAAGAGCTTTGTCCCAAGGAAGCGGAAAGCGGGCCCTGTGCAGGAGGCAAGCCTGGGTTCAAGGCCAGATTTGGCGCTGGGCGGCCATGCCCCAGCGCTTCCCACATCTCCAGCCCCAAACACTCTCTTCAATTCCAGACTCACCTGGGCTCCATCGCCACCTGGAATCTCAGGGACATCAAAAATCCAACAGGACAGGGTCTGAGCTCTCATCCTCCACAACCTTGCCTCCCTCATGGTCCAATCTCAGCCAATGGCCATGCCCTCTACCATTCTGCACCCATATTTTTTCCCCGTACACCCAAGCAATTCTCTGACAGCAGCTGGGTGTCCCACAATTCAACTGAGTTTTGACACTGTCTACCCACCTCACAGAATTCAGGAGGCCAGATTACGCACTGGATTTTTACAACGGATGTTAAAGAATACAAAACAACAACCAGATAGAAGAGACACACAAAGCAGAGTCTAAGGAAAGGACTTCCATGCCCTGGGTGCGCCACTGTCCCCACTTCTTCAGGTGGTCACCAACCTGGATGCTCTCCAAAGCCAGTTCTTCTGGGTTTTGATTGTACTCAGCACTCAGGAGACCACGTGCACATTTCTTACTAATAAGTCGCTCGGGTCCCAACCTGCACCTAGCCCTGCCTCCACTCCTGCACTCACCAACCAAAACCTATGAGTCCAGGGGGCCCTTCCTCAAGCCAGGTTCAGCATCTGATGATTCTTTCCACCTCGCAGGGGCTGCCTGCCCATGTGTTGGGCCCCCACGGCTGTGACAGCCCCCAACTCTGCCCTTGCCCTCATGTGTTCTCACCAAAGCCCGCATCAACCTTGAAGACCAGGGCCAGGCCAGGCAACTTATCCCATAACTGCCTACTCCAAGCCTGAAGTCCTAGCTGCTGTCCCAGCCCCTCTCTACCCTGCCCTCCGTGACCCCCACCCCAGTGGACTCCACACAGTGTTTATTCCTTGAAATTGTCCAGGACTTCTGCAACTACTGTTCTCTCTTGTCCCGATACCCAAGGGCTCCCTCCCCTCAGAGGAGCAGCTTTCTGCTACAAGACCACCCCTGCCCTGCCCTCCCTGCCCTCCCTGCCCTTCACCTGCTTGTGCGTGTCCATGTATTGTCCCCTCCTAGAAGTGCAGCACCCTGACACCCAGGCCAAGCGTGCTGGTGTTCAGGACAATGCCTGACTGAAGTGAGCAACATTCCTCAAGCCCTGTTTCCAAAGGGGAGAATAACAGTCTTTGCTGTCACGATGTCCCAGAACACTGCCGGAAGGGTATCCAGCCCACGCAGCAAGTCCTGCCGAGCACCGCGGTAGCTGTGAGGAGGGCTGAGTTCGGGGTCACTGAGTGCCTCCCAGGCTCGGCCTCTCACTGCGCTGCAGAGCTGGGGCCCAGCCTGCTGGCCTGCGGTGCCCGTCCACTGCTCTCCGGGGCAGAAGCTCGAAAAACTGAAACGTGTTTCCAGAACTTTTCTCATTCTAAAATGACTCTGAAGAGCTCTCCCTCTCTCCCCCACAAATAACCAATGAATACCTTTTTTTTCTTTTTCAAAAGTAAGGCAAATCAAAAACTTCTGACAAAAGAAAAAAAGCCTTTTATAAACACACACGCCTAACCTGCCTGACTTCCAAATCTTATATACCTTACCCACACTGCTTTTAGGAGTACTGCCATAGGCCACCACACAGCTTCAAAATGAACTCACAAAAACACACTGTTAGAAGGGGCAGCAGGAAATAACTCAGGGGCCCGTGCATGAGGAAGTGTCCCCAGGACCCACCATGTGCTTGCCAGGCCACGCCCACAGTGCTGGGAGAACCGGCATGACTGCTGATCAAGGCCAGGCTTGTGGGGAAAGGCCTGTGGACTAGAAAGACCAGTGCACACTCCCAGCAGACCCTGGTGTCTGCCAGAAGAGATCAATAGCCTTTAAATATCCTGTATTTGTTTCCTGTGGCTGCTGTAACAAATGATCACAAGCTGGGTCGTTCACAGCAACAGGACCATATCCTCTCAAAGTTCTACAGGCCAGAGGTCCAGAATCAGCATCACTGGCCACCAAAGGCGTGGCCGGGACTCACTCCCGCCATAGGCCCTGGAGGAGAATCCATTCCTTACCTCTTCCACCTTCCGGGGGCTGCAGCCTTCCTCAGCTCATGGCCGTACCCCATACCTCCCTTTGCTCCCCCTTCACAAGGATACACCTGAGTGTAGTTCAGACCCACTCCAATAATCCAGGAGAATCTCCCCATCTCAAGGTCCTGTACTTCATCACACCTGCCAAGCCTCTCTGCTCTGCCCTTTTGCCACACACGGTAACCCTCCCACTTCCCAAGGATTAGGCTGTGGAGATCTCTGAGGGCCTTCTTTCAGCCTGCCACAGCCTCTTCCCCTTCACTGTCTGCTGCAGCAGTTGCTGAAGGGTGGGGTGGGACAGGATGGGGGATGCACAGGTTCAGGCAGAGCAGCCTCGAGCAAGGAGGGCTGAGGGGCTCCACAGCATGACCCCCCTGTGCCGGCTCCTACGGGGGGGCCTGCATCAGGGCAGGCCCAGCATGCTTAGGACAGGAGGGATGGTGCCTTTGCAACGCCACCTCTTTGAGAGGAGCAGCCTCACCACCATTCCCAATCTCCCCAGATGGATGAAAGATCTAACTCATAAACCAGATGAAAAACAGGTCCTGTTCTGCTCTGGGGACCAAGGGGTCACCTGAAATGAAAACAGTCTGGAACAGGGTGTTGCTATCACTGAACTTGGCCTTATTCTTTCAGCTGCATGCAAGGGCGATCACAGGGTGTTGGGGGCTCTGCCTCAGCAAACCCAGGCACGTGGCCCTGGGGCCACCAGCCCAGCTCCCAGAATGCCTACCACCCTGTTGGTCCCCCAGAGGTAGTGACGTGGGACAGCCGGACTGGAAACTCCAAGAGCTTGGGGTAGGGGGTGTCATCTCAGGGACAGGCTGCGGCAGGAGGGTCTGTCCTCCCTCCCAGGCCTCCTTCAGGGCCCAGGCCACTTCCCGCGCAGCCTGCCACCACCTCAGCTCTCGTTCTGCCAGTGCCCTCTGCCCCCACAGAGAGCAGGCTGAGCTGTCTCCTGTTTTCACCCCTCGCGGGCTTGTTCTCGCCACCCAGCACACCTCAGGCTAGTGATGTGCAAACCATTCTACAGGAAGCCTTGTTTAGGAAAAATAACCGTGTTTACGGAACTCATGTGAGAACATAGCTCCACTGACTAGCACAGCAGAGGAAAGAAAGCCCCAACCTGAGACAGTCTATGTCGCCAATGAGAAGATGAAGTGAGACTGCCGGGCACAGGTGGGCTGCCCCATCTGGTCAGCCCTGCAGCCCCAGCCATCCCAGCAGCAGCCTGGGGCCCCCTGCTGACCAGGACACCGTGGGCTTCCCTGGTCAGCATCCCCTATCCGGGTGCCAGCAGAAGGGATGACTCCATGCTGGCCACAGGAGACAGAGGGAAGGGAGGGGCTCCTCTCCCTGTCTGCACAACTGCCCAGCGGCACTCACCACATTCCAGAAGAGCGGGTTGAAAATGACGGTGAAGATGGCAGCCACAAAGCAGGGGTCTGAGGGGTCCACGTAGCCCAGCAGCCAGGTCATAACGTAGAGGTCTGCCTGCAGAGACAGAGCCAGTGTCAGCAGGAGACCCCCCCCGCCCCCTCCTGACCCCACCCAGCCCCACACAGGGCAGCCCAAAGGAACGACAAGCCCCCAGAACTCAGAAGTTACCCTCTGGGAACACGCTGGAAGGCTCAGGCACATCCAAGTCCAATAAAGGTTATTGCAGTGTGATCTCATAAAACTGAAGATAAAGAGCCAAAACCCAGTCAGCTGTGTCGTGCCTTGTTGGGAGCCAGGTGAGCTCCAGAGCAGTGTGCACGGATGCCAGACGGGAAATCAGTGGCTTAGAGGATGAGTGTCCGGCACCCAGATGGGAAGTGACCCCACTGGGCCTGACACCTGCATCACCAGGTGCTGTGACGGGGACCCTGCCAAGACAGCCAGAGACCACAGAGCAAATGAGGGACCGGCATCGCGTGCAGAGACGCAAAGCTTCACCAGCAACCAAGTAAACCAAGCTAAGCAACCCATGTGCCTCTTCTCTACCACCTGAATGGCAGGCAGTCCTGAGTGTTGATGAGGCTGTGAAGTGACCTGGCGGACTCCCACGTAGCCAGTTCTACTCGCAGGCATCTGCCCCAGAGAAACTCACATGTGTGACCAGTGCATGTGCAAAGGCCTCCCTCTCTGCAAACCTGCAATGCTAATGTGTCCATCTGAGCAGTGGCAATGAGAGTAACAGCTTTCCAGAGCCCGCCAGCACGTCATACCCACTTCTCTCATGTGTTACTGTCGCCATGACCGGAATGGGAAACTGAGTCCTGGAGCACACTACCCATGGAATCAGTTGAGTATCTCCTGGGCTGCCCACCCAGAGTCTCCAGAGCACTGCACCCAATAGTGAGTCAGCCTGCAAGAGGGCGGCTCTGCCCTCTTCAGCCGTGGGGCATAGGCACATGACTGCCCTCCTCAGCCTGCCTCTGGAATGGAAAATGTTACTGACTTCTTACAATCTGGGGGGTATTCATCACATCATTTTGTGAATGGTGAAAAATAACCAGTGCCCACGATGGGTGCCTGGCAAGGTAAACAAAGGCACGGCCCACTGGAGTGAACGCTGCGAGAGTCTGTCCTGATGGAAGAGCTGGCCGGGGCACCTATGGCATGCACCTGTACGGCCCCTCTGGAAAACAGACATGCTTCCCCCCCGGGCATGCACCCTGGAGAGACGCTCGCACGTGTACACAGCAGGGTTCACAGCAGCCTTGCCTGAAATAATCCTAAACTGGAAACAGCCCATTTATCTATCAATGGGAGAATGGAATTTTTACATGACAGTTTATTCACTGTATGCAACATTAAATAACAGGGGGAAATGAATGCACTACAATTACAAGGAATCTCGGAGATATAAGGAGTAAAAGAGTCAAGTCTTAGAAGACAAATGAACTAGACAATAGCAGTAGGCTACACTGAATATGTAGCAAACCACCTCTCAGAGCCAGGGACAGGAGGTAGCTTCTGCCTGTCAGAGTGATGAAAGTTTTCAAAGCAGACATCAAGAACCCAGTTGTTTGTGTTGGGGAGGCAGGGATATGGGAGAGGGAGGAAACATGGGTACGGATTTCTAGTAAGGGTTTGCTCTTCAATTTAAAAAGAGAAAGAAAATGTCCATCTATGGAAGGACAGAAAACTACAGTACAGCCCACCCCTAAAGTAGGTAAGCTACAGAGTTGCAAACTGCACTCATGCATCGGTGTGTGGCACGCCGACTGCACAGGGCGAGCTGCAGAGTCTCTAAAGCATGCATCACATATTTACATAGCAACACCCAACCACATGGACTAAAAATTCTTTCCCTGTGTGTTTAAACAAAGACTGACGTGCAACACAGAGTTCATGGTATCTGGAGTAGGGCCACTTGTCCCCACACTGAGGGCTGGCACCCCAGCCCTCACCAACTCCATTCAGGTAGCTTCCCTCAGCAGCGACAACTAAAACTGTCTCCAGACATGCCCGGATGCCCCAAGGGACAGAAGTACACACAGCTGAGAGCCCTGCCACTAGGGACCAGAGGGGAGAAGAGCTCAACTCTTTCAGCACTGATTTCTTTCTTTAAAAAGCTAAGACACCTCCCCCGGTCCCTGCATTACCCTTTGTACTTCTCTTTCTCTTGTTACAGAGGGTGTTAGAGGCCCAGAGCACTGAAAGCATTCTAGTCACTCTCCATATGCAACTCAAGGAAAATAAGTCTAAGTCTGTCAGAGTTCCCATCTTGACCACAATGTCTATTCTCATGGTGCTTTGGTTCTGTTGCTTGAGGACCCAGTGTCTTCTTCCCCAAGCATCTGTCTCACACTCAGAGGGGAGGGGAGAGGATGAAGCCCCTGAGAGGTCTGCCCCGCAGCCCCGAGCAGGGGAACAAGCAGCAGCCGCCATGCCATGCACTCCACCAGGACCTTCTTCTGGCCTAACTCGGCCTGCCATCCAGACACTGCTGGGTGTGACGGTAGTATGATTCCAGAAAGCCACTGAGTGTGGAGGATGTGGCCTGGCACGTCCTTCACTTGTGTGAGCCTCCTCTCCCATTAGCCTGTGTTTCTCAAGAGCAAACCTTCACCTGTCTGTGTGGCCAAGGGTGGAGCTATGCAGAGATAAGCACTCCAATTCAGACCAACCTAACAGTGCATGAGGAATGAATGAACTGACAAAGGCACGGAAGGTGCACCATTAGCGCAAAATGACTGAGGGAATGTGATCACAGGAACACAGAATGCATTAATGAATGAATGACAAAAGAACAACTCAGCCTATAGTGAGGAGGGGTGCTGGGTGCACAGCCTTGCCCCAGGCTGACTGTGGCCTCTGGGCCCACTGTGGGCACTGCCAATGCCCACTGGGCAGGCCTGCAAACCACACTGGGCCTTCCAGCTCCTCTGTCTCGTCCCAGCAGTAAGTACCCTGGCCTCCATCAGAGACTTGGCGGCTCTCAGAGCTGGGCCTCACCAAGCCCAGGACCACGGCAGGAAGCTTCTCGTTCCCCTAGAGAACACACCAGGCAGGGCGCAGCCACTCTTGAAGACAAGCAACTGGAACAGGCCTCAGAACTGAGCTAGGGACATCTGCGCCCAGCTCCAAAGCCTCAAGACCCCGAGGGCTGAACCGGTGGACATTCTGGCTTGTCTGGTAAGACACATTTTTTAAGCATGTCTGACTGCAAGGCCCAGTCCATAGGGAGGACCTTCGAGGAGGAAAGCCGGCCTGGGAAACCACACAGCCCTGCTCTGGTCCTGCTCAGCTGCTCCAGAGGAGTGAACAGCAGACCCTCCGCAGCGGGCAGTCACACTCATCTCTGCTCCTTCTACCCCTAGCAACCCAAACCCACCTTGCCGCTGCCCCTACACCACTCACAGGTTGTTTGTGTGGCGATCCCACAGTTCCCCTGTTCCACATGCCAGCACATCCAGTGGCCCTCAGGACGATGCCCACAGAGCCCCACTTTCTGCCATGCCCAGTACACACCTCCTCATCAACCCAGGGCTCACTGCTCTCAGCATTCACTGACAGATGAGGATTCACCCCACCTGCCAGCCTTCCTGCCCTACCCCTTCACCCATACCAAACATGGCATGCTGCACCTTTCCCAATGGCTTATGCACGTGTGTGAAACAACTTCTCTCCCTCTGTAAGTTCCCCCAGCAAACCAGTGTTCACCCTTCAAGACTCAGCGGGAGTACCTCCTCCACCCTCACCCATGGCACTCTCCTTTGTCTCCTTAGTACACACCCCATTACAAATACCTGATTATCTGTCCCTATCCTGCAATTGCTCCCTGGGCAAGGGGCCATTTCTACCCCACCTTTTGTATCTTCTGCCTGACACGAAGAGGAAATGTTTTCTGAGCAAACAGTGATCCTCATTCAATCATCAGTAAAACTCAGGAGTAAAAAGCATGTCTCTGAGGGGCCCTCCAGCTTGGCCACCTGTGCTCCTGGGACTGCGGTCCCCTCCCTCTGGCTTTCCCCAGGAGGCATGAACTGTCCAGGGGCCACTCTGAGCATTCTGCAGGTGGGCAGCAGACCCCTCTGGACTCAGGAGGCATGGTCAGAGTCACCAGCTGCCCAGACACTGTGCTTCACAAATATTTATTTTTATGGTATCTCTAAAGCTGAGAGATTCAGCAATGTTCACAAGCACTGACAGGAGGTGGGAGGGCCAGACTAAGGAGAGGGCAGGGCCCCAACGTGTGCTTAGAAACCCCAGGGCTGGACTCTACTGAAGGCAGGTCACCTCAGTTGAGACCTGCCTGTCCCTGGGGTGTGCATCTAGATGCATGGTGTTTAGGGATGACCTCAGCCCACACTCAGGGACCATTACCCCCATTCCTCAATTCCGGAATCCAGGAGTCCCCACCAACCAGCAGCTCCCACACAGGGTCTGAGGGCCTGGGCATATCCCCCGCCCCGCCCCCCGCCCCACCCCCCTGGAGCAAGGAGCTTCCTGACACTTGCTAACTCAGCACTAAGAGTCCCATGGGGTTTTAATGGCAATTCCATGGGCAAGGACTTTACTGTTGGCCAGACGCCCCCTTCAAGGAGAGTCCTGGCAGGGCACCATTCTGCTAAACCCGACTCCTCTATTCCCCGTCCTCCTGACCTTGAACACAATCGAGCAGCTGAATTCAGATGATGAAACTCCCCCTGCAGTCTGCAGTCAGGGTGCACAGCTGGCTGTGGTCCGATTTTCACCAAGCAGAGAGGAGTAGAACATTCTCTCCCGCCACTGCCCACCAAGCCTGTGCGCTACAGTTAAGTTCTCAGCACCTCATGCTGTGAAACAGCACCCGAGGCCCAGTTCACAGCCTTGAAGGCCTGCTCTCCAGGCCCCACTGGCGTCCCACAGCCTACACTATCTCAGGGTTCTCTGGTCCTTACCACGCCTCCCTGGGTCCTAGTGGGGGCCAGGGGCTGGCTAAGGGCATGTACACCTACCTGCTCAAGGACCCAGGCAAACCCTGTGTACCCCCAGCTCTGGGCCTCTACACAAGAGGAGGG